TGTACAATACTTATTCATTGAATCTGCGAATAAAGCATTGCGTGTCATTTAAACTTTAAAGAATGAGACTGACGGAAATGCTCTGCGCGCTTGTGTTTACTTCTGTTATAAAACATCGCTATCTAATACAGAGTTGCCTAAATAATTAGCTACAATATTGCCGGAAAATGTTGTAAATTAAATAAGGTCCAGAATTGACTGTATCAATCAAGAAAGGAAGAAGACAGTTTAAACTATTAGAGATTACCAGTTGTGTTGGGAATAAGTTATGTAATTGAATGTCCTACTGACAGAGAGACAAATTCTCCTTAGTTGTTTTAATTTCGTTAACCAATAGGCTTAAAAGAATTTTGATTGATGTTTTGTTGTAAATGAGTTGAAGAGAGAGTGAGTGAGCGATATACGTATTTGATAAACATTGCCAGGGAAAAATTTCGTTATTCAAAGCTTGAGTTGTTGCATCTATTCGACATATTCAAAGGGAATATTGCCTGGGCGACGGGCAAGATTCACAAAACGTGGCACCTCCGACGGGATAAGTGAAAATAGTTCGATCAAGAACAAGAATTCGTATTGAAACATGTCGAAGCAGGAAGCTGCGGAGCTAGCACTGAAGCAAAACTCAAGCATATGATCACTTGCGGGAAAACTGAGAGAATTCTTGCGTCAGATAATCACGGGAGAATCGAAAGACATCGTGATGCGTTAAATGAATTAGTAAAGAAGCAGATACCGCCAAACGTACAGTCGAAGGGTTGAAAATAGCTAGCGGCGAAAAGTCGAAAGCATTTCCGAGTGGGAGGAATCGATAGAAAATACCATCGGTCAAGCTGACAATGCAATAGAAAAATTACGCAAGTGGCTTATGGAAGTGGATGAAAGTAAGAAAGCACATTTAAGAAAGGATCAGTTGAATTTCGAAAAAGAGTTGTATGAAACCAAGCTGCACTACAAGACTCAATTGGAAGAGTCCAAGAGGGACAAACCAGAAGAGACAGGAGAAATGAATTCTACAATTAGTGGGAATCTGGAAGTTAAACTACCAAAGCTAGTGATTTCAAAATTTAACGGAAGCTACAAAGATTGGCCAAGATTCTGGAACCAGTTCAGCGAGACTATTGACAAATCAAATATTTCCAATGTAACAGTTGAAATATTTGAGTTGCTTGAAAAACATGTCAAGTATTCCATAGAAGCACTACCTTTCACTAGTGAAGGGTATAACCGAGCAAAAAGTATACTTCAGTCTAAGTATGGAAAGGAGTCAGAAGTGATTAAAGCCTACACCAAAGAAATTCTTCACTTACCCAACATACCAGATGCCAATGTACAGAAGGTGCATAAATTCTGCGAAAGGCTCACCTATTGCGTACAGTCTTTAGAAACTATGGGAAAACTGGAGCAGATCAATGGAAGTGTTGCAATGACAATGGACAAATTGTCTGGTATAAGAGCGACTTGGTTCGTACAGATCCCAACTGGGATGAATGGGATTACATTAAGCTAATAGAAGCCTTAACATTATGGACTAGGCGAAACCCTAGAAACCCTATATGTGAAGGAGAAAGGAAGGAAAATAGAAACAGTCCCGTGAAAGAGTATTCAACACCAAATTCGGTCAGCGAAAATGTGTATATTGCGATGCAAACGATCATAAATCAGTTGACTGCTCAAAGGTGACGGATATCAACGAAAGGAAACAAATATTGGCGCTGCTTCAACTGTACCGGAGAAGGGCATAGAGCAGCCGATTGTACAAGTAAAATAACCTGTCAACATTGCGAGAGAAGGCATCATACTTCTTTGTGTGAACAAGCAATGGGGAAGAAACCCTGATGACTGCAACAAAACCAGGAGTCTTCCCAATCTTGACTGTAAAGGTTAATGGGATCATGTGCAGAGCGTTAGTTGATTCTGGGGCTGGCAGCTCGTATGCATCTGCAAAGTTGGTAAGTGTCCTTGGCATGAAACCTGCTGACATAACAACAAACAAGTGGACATGCTCCTGAGTAGTAGTGTAGAACGTCTGGAGACCTATGCAACTAAAGTGGAGTCCCTCGATGGAGAGTTTGGTATGGAAGTAGATTTAATTAAAGTGGAAAAAAGTGAACTTTTATCAGTAAAAAACCCCCAATACAGCCATATGATTTCCAAATACTCACACTTAAAGGGGTTGATATCCAAGATGGTGACACGAAGGCTCAGCTTCCAGTACATGTAGTTCTTGGGGAGGGTATGCCAGAATAAAACAAAGAATCGTCCCGAATAGGTAAAGATGGCGAACCTATCGCGGAGTTGACCAAGCTGGGATGGTTCGTGATGTCCCCTGGAAAGAATTTGATCACAATCATATGTTACTAACACAAACCACTCAAAAGGATTATGAGAAGTTGTGCCGGTTGGATGTTTTAGGACTTGCCGACACCTCAGAACACGATCAAACCTCAGTGTATGGAGAGTTTAAGGAGCAATTGGTCAGGAGTTCAGAAGGTTGGTACGAGAGTCTGGTCTACTGTGGTAACCATCCTCCTTACCATCTTACAAAGAAGGAAGTTTGGCCTCAACAGTCTTGTAAAGAGATTAGACAGGAAGGAATGGCCAGTGAGTATAACAGGATTATTGAGGAACAAGTCAGCAAAGGGTAGTTGAACTTGTAACCGAGCCCCAGTGGGTAGGGAGTTCTACTTACCTCATAAACCCGTGATACGTGAAGCTGCACAAACAACGAAAATCCGTGTAGTTTACGATGCATCCGCTCGAGCGACTCCAGTGCTCCATCCTTGAATGATTGCCTTTACCCAGGCCCGCCGTTACAGAATAAGCTTTGGAGCGTATTGGTTCATCATCGTTCATTTCCAGTTGCACTTTGTGGCGATATAGAAAAGGCATTCCTCCAGATCCGAATAAAAGAACAAGAAAGAGATGCCTTACGGTTTCACTGGAAGAGTGACAGTCAACCTGAACCCTTGACATATAGATTCACAAGAGTCGTCTTCGGCCTAACTTGCTCCCCATTTCTGCTTGGGGGAGTGCTAGAGCATCACCTAGAAACTTGGAAAACAAAGATGCCAGATATCGTTGAGGAACTGAAGAAATCTATGTATGTCGACGATCTGCTTAGTGGGGGACAAACAGTAGACAAAGCCAAGGAAAGGAAAAGGAAATCAATCGATGTATTCAACGACGCCAATTTCAATTTACATAAGTGGAACTCAAATGCCCATGAGCTTGAAGCAGATGAAGAAGAAAAGGATGATGAAGAAGAAACTTTAGCAAAACAACAACTTGGAACTAAATCTGGAGAATCTAAAGTGCTGGGACTGTTATGGAAAAAGAAAAGTGACGAGATTTCCATAGTGATCCCATCAGAGAAATCGGCAAAACGAAACGTGAAGTACTGAGTAGATTGGCTCAGGTTTATGACCCTTTGGGAATTACATCACCCTTAATTCTAGAGGGAAAGATAATTTATCGTGATATCTGTAAGGAGAAGCTCTTGTGGGATGTACAGCTAAGCCATTCTTTGAAGTATCGATGGGACTGCTGGGAGAGCAATCTTCCGTGTGAAGTAAGTGTTCCGCGATCATTAGCTGGGTTCCGAGAACCAATCAAGTCTTTAGAGCTGCACGCATTCGGGGATGCTAGCACACAAGGTGTAGGAGCTGCAGTGTACTCAGTTATTCATCAAGAATCGGGAACTACTCAAATTCTAGTTGCTGGTAAAAGTCGTCTGGCAAAGAGGACCTAACTGTTCCACGGCTAGAACTTGTGTCAGCCCACATGGAAACCTTCTTGTGAATGTGCGAAACGCTTTGGATCATTTGTCACGGCCGCAAAGTTTTGCATGGCTAGACAGCACTGTCGCCCATTGGATACTTGGACGGGGCCAGTATAAGCAGTTTGTCTCAAACCGTGTCCGTAAGATACACCAACATCCTGAAATAAAATGGCGATATGTACCCACATCCGAAAATCCTGCAGATTTGGCCAGCAGGGTGGGAAATTAAATCAGACGTGGCTCTACGGTCCAGAATGGTTATCTGATATGAGCAGATGGCCAACTAATATAACCACAACTCCAACTACTGCAACAGAAGCAGAAGCGACAGTCTCCCAAAAAAGTATCGCAATGACAACAAAACAGTACAGTGGTGATGTTCTGGAACAGTTATTAAGAAAATGCTCACTTAAACGAGCTCTAAGAGTGTCGTCATGGCTCTTCAGGTTCGTAAACAATTGTACACAAGGGGAAAAGAGAACAGGACCATTATCCTTTACCGAGATTGAAGAGGCTAAGATGAAATTTGTCAAACAAGCCCAAAAGCAAGGTCAATTACAACCAAAGTACGAGCAACAATGCAAAGAACTTAATCTTACGCGCAATACAGAAGGGATTTTAGAATGTCGTGGCCGAATTGTGGGTCAGTATCCTATCTACCTTCCACAGATTCCTTGCTAGCTCAAAGAGTAGTGGAAAAGTTGCATCGTGAAACGTTACATGGAGGTGTTGGATTGACAATGGCTGCTGTAAGAGAGACGTATTGGATACCGAAGTTAAGAAGCCTTGTAAAGAAAGTTAGAAAGGAGTGTTTTGGTTGTAAAGATATCGAGCGACATCAGTTCCCACACCCTCCTGGAAAGTTACCGAGGACCGGACTTGTGGCGAAACAGCGTTCGAGGTGATTGGCGTAGATTTCGCGGGACCAATACGTTACAAAGGGAAGTCAAGCAAGGATTGCAAAGCGTATCTGGCGCTGTTTTCATGTAGTCTAACTCGAGCAGTGTACTTGGACATGATGCCGGACCTATCTGCTTCCACGTTCATACCAAGTTTGAAACGGTTCATTGCTCGGAGGAAGACCCAGGAAGATCTATTCAGACAATGGGGGCACCTTCATAAAAACTGCGAAGTGGATTGATACTTTACGAAAGGAGGAACGTCTTCAAGGTTATTTGGAGGAATTCGACATTAAATGGCAGTTTAACTTGTCCCGAGCACCATGGTGGGAGGGCAGTTCGAGCGGCTGATAGGAATTGTCAAACAAGCGATGTATAAGACAATTGGAGGCGCAAATCTGAAGTGGGAAGAACTGTGTGAAGTGATACTTGACGTTGAAGTGCAAATCAATAGAAGACCGCTCAGTTATGTTGAAGACGATGTTCAACTGCCGGTGTTGACACCCGAGCTCTTTTTATTCCAGAGATCCAATCATCTGCCAGAACAGAAATTATGGGTCGAAAGTGATCCGGACTTACGTAAGAGGGCAAGATACTTGAAATCTTGCAAACAAGCCTTGTGGAAAAGATGGTCGAAAGAATACCTCACTGCACTGCGAGAACGACATAACATGAGTCATGGGACTAAAAAGTTCATTGTAAACGTAGGAGACGTCGTGCTGATCAAATCCAACGAAAAGAATAGAGGGAAATGGCCTCTTGGGATCGTTATAGAGACATATCCAGGAAGAGATGGAGTGATACGTGGGGTAATGTTGAAAACGCCAAATGGAAACCTAGAACGACCAGTTCAATTGCTTTACCCAATGGAATTAGCTTGTGATCGACAGAGCCATGAAGAGACCTGATCTTAATCCAGACGCTCAACCATTCAAGCCAAAGCGTAAGGCAGCTGAAAATGCAGCGGGGATCATCAAATCGATTGCTGACGAAGAAAACGAAGAGATTTGAAACACTTCCTAGAACAGTAATCCATTTAGATATACATCTTATCTTCAGATGTATAGGGGGAGTGTGTTGGGAATAAGTTATGTAATTGAATGTCCTACTGACAGAGAGACAAATTCTCCTTAGTTGTTTTAATTTCGTTAACCAATAGGCTTAAAAGAATTTTGATTGATGTTTTGTTGTAAATGAGTTGAAGAGAGAGTCTGAGTGAGTGAGCGATATACGTATTTTGATAAACATTGCCAGGGAATAAAAGTTTCGTTATTCAAAAGCTTGAGTTGTTGCATCTATTCGACATATTCAAAGGGAATATTGCCTGGGCGACGGGCAAGATTCACAAAAGTTGAACGTTCTAGTCATGAAAATAAAGCTATAATGCAATCTTCTACAAAGCAATTAAACCCACGTACAAGCCTTTGTACATTGATAGACAAGTGAGCTTAAGCCTTGTTTTGTGGCTAATCAAATATAAACACAATTTCACTTAATTAAATCCTTCTTATTTCATTTTCATTTTTTGGCCGACAGCGCTTTGCAGTTGATTTATTGACAACAGGTTTCACCTATTTTAAATTGTGTCGGGCATGATAATCATACGCTGCCTTAACGTAAGAGTTGGAGGGAGTGACATTGACATGCTACAGTCACCAGACGGACTTTATACACATTTTAAACACGCATATTATCACGAAAGATCGTAAATTTAAAGTCTTAGATAGACGCTCTTTGATGTTCTTTGTTATGATCTGCAATTGCGATGCCATATCATTGTCAAAGGTTTGTCACAAACTGCGCAAAAGCAAAATGCATGAGTGATCCATCCAAAACTTGTATTCCTTCATAAGTTATAAAGTTAATTGAAAAGTGTACTTGTACATTGTGCACGCAAACACGCACGTAAAACATTACGAATAAACGAAACTCTACAGTCATGAACAAAACAAAGCGGCTTATAGCTTATCACCTATATAAAACTACATAATCTTTCAAAGACTCTTATGTATATAAATTATAAATTAAACGTATAATTCTTTGTTGGTCACAGGTTTGTAATATGGGAAAATGAAATATTTCTATTGCACGAAATGTTCAGTGTATAAAATGCGCTTGTTGTTGTCTGGGCTTACACTTGGTATGTCGGCAAAGCCTAGTTTTAAGATCTGCTAAAATAAAAGTTTCTACGTCTTATAGCGACTAAATATTGGAAAAGTATATAAGCGTGATATACTACACAACTTTTTTTAATCTTAACAACCGCCGACTGTTGTTTTTGTTTTAAAATTCCAGGGAACAAATGTGCTATATGTTATTATAATACTATTATTTTATATTGTGTCATTCAGTTGACACCAGCCAATGACGTCAGTAATGTCTTCCGGCATAATTTAGCATAAGGTTTTTTTTCCAAAATGGCGGATAAGGATTCAACTTTATGTCAAATTTTCTCAACAGCAAAATTCAAAAGAGACACGAAAACACGAAATTAAGTATTCCATAGCTATCTATGATAAACGTATGAAAAAAAATTTCATTGCCATTGTCCTTTAAGCAATCATAACGTCCTTAGGAATTCAACGCAGAAAAATAAGCGTACAATAGCATCGACTTTCTATTCATGTGCATTTATTCATGAGTCATCAGCACAAAACTGCAATCAATTAAATGAATGTATTGTTTATTAAGATTTGTATGCACGAACGTTTATTCAATAACGTCAATGAGCAGTGACTAAAACGGATTACAGTGTTAATAGTATTTTATTGATAACATTAACATATTACGCACGTTCATTAAACACAAATAATTTTTCAATACAACATAACGTAATTGGAACGATTGACGTGAAAAAGGCAGTCTGTATACAATCACTCAGCAGTACACAAAGTGGTGAATACTGTTATAAAGGAGTGATCACTACAATGAGACAGCAGAGATCGACTGCTGGTGTGAAACATATGTGAATATGCAAAGGTGTAACAGAATCTCACAAGAGCATAGACAGTGAATTGTACAAGCGTTTGAGGAGAAAAACGAAGATTTTCTTATCAATTCCTTGATTGTTGTAACTCGTCAGAAAACGCGGCTAACTGAATACTTCGGATCCATGATCTCTCAGGTATGAGTAGCTCATTAGCATTCAATTCAGACGTAGCATAGCATCGTTGCTTTCTTGATTTCTTGATAAACCTTAAAATTTGTGCTGTGACATGAAGTAGTTTGTTCTTCGTACCATATCTGTCTTGGTCAACAATCTTCTCCAAGTGGATGGAATTACGGTCAGGAAGCGATGTTAACGTCAAGGAATGTGTTATTGAAAGAGGATTTTGTATTATCTCTGTGTAGCAATGGTCCTCATCCAATTTTGTAGGTTGAACATCTTCGGGCCATTTGACTTCAGTATCTTGGAGAAACTGCGATCCATTCCACCAGATTCCAGCTTACAGAAGTTCACTTCCGGAACACCCACGAGAAGGCAATTTACGATTAACTTTCTGATTTCGTTTACGCGGTTCTGTTCATGCGACTTCCACAGTTTATGATTTCGAATCCAACACAATGTGGTAAATGAATCCGTCCATAGGATAATATCAGTGATACATTTTATTGAAGTCAACGCTTTCACAATGGAATCGACTAATCTTGCTAAGGAAGTTGCGCTTAACAATTTAAGTCGTGGTATGATCTGTCGTTTGATAGGGGCGACTATTGTCTTGGCTGCTATTAAATTCACTTCAATTTCACCGTTTTTATGTTCCGTTGTAGATATACAACTGCTGCAAAAGCAAATTCTGATGCATTGCAAAATCCATGTATCTGATGAATCGGAGATGAATCGTATCCACCATGGAAGTAACAACACGGTACCCGTATGTTACTTAAAGGCCTTAATTCGGGAACGAGAGAATTCTAACGTGATAAGGCCTTGCCAAACAGATCTTCATCCCAATTACTGCCGAAAGAGCAGAGGGTTTAAAACAACATCTTCATAGTGATAGTAAAGGGTGCAAGAAGGCCAATAGGATCGAATATCTTCACAGATAGTTTTAAAACTGACCTCTTAGTTCCAGGAGGTGATTTTGCATAATGCACTAGCTTTTCAAGATCATAACAAAGCTCGTCGCTGTTCTCATCCCAGCTGATTCTTAAAATTTTGATGCGGTTCTCTTGAGATGTGTACTAGGTTGTGGCTCTGTATGATGCGACGGAGTTTTTGCTAACTTGTCTTCCACCGTCGTACTTGGTATATGTTTAACATATGATGACCCCTTTTCTTTTCCCACCTCAACAAACAGTCGATCTTCATCATTCGCAATAGCATTTCGGACATGTTGCGAGATTGAATGCCATTTTCGAAGCTTCAATCCTCCCTCGCTCATTAATTTTCGAGATCTGTGATAGATGTATAGAGCTTCGTCCTCGTTAGAAACTCCACCAGCGAAATCGTCAACATATAACGACTCAATTAATAAAGAGTCTATTTCTGGATCGACATTCTAGTATTTCGAAACGTGGTGACGAATAACAGTAGATAATATCGCAGGACTAGGGTTAGACCAAATGGTAGGCATCGGAACTTGTATTCCTTTAGCATTGGATGAACTTTGTTAATATCGTCAAACCAAAGAAACTTCAGCATCTTTCTGTCTTCGGGAGCAATTTGTATTTAATGAAAAGCCTTTTTGATATCGGCAACAAACGCAATGGGGAAGCCTCGAAAGGTTATCATAGTGTCAAATAAACGTGGAACCAAATTTGGTCCATTTTCGAGGCAATCATTGAGTGACTGCATCTTCTTAGTAGCTTTTGCCGAACCATCGAAAATCACGCGAAGTTTTGTAGTTTTCTTATCTTCTCGAAGTAGGCCAAGTTGAGATAGGAAATAACCGGCTTCATGTGCAACAAGAACTGGGTCAATAATTCCTCCTTTCACTTGATCTTTGATAATTGCAACGTATTCTTGCAATAAGGGTTTATCTTTATCGAGACGAGATTTCAACTGGTGTAATCGTTTCAAACACATACCGTAACAGTCTGAATTTGGAATATAATCCCCCTTCCAAGGTAAATTCACTTCAAATCTCCCTTCATCCTCCAGATATTGTATATTCTTCAGAAACTCCTGATCCTGCGATTCATTAGATTCTTTGATTCCCATTGATTCCATCTCCCAAAACCGTTTCAAGCATTCATGTAATTTGGGTTCTCTTGTCAAACGGAACTCCTTTTGAAAAATAGTAATCTTCGATGATTAAATTAACGTTTGACAATTTCGAATTAGTTTCACCATCATTCGTCTTCCCAGTGATAATCCAGCCAAACTCACTATTACTCGCAACAGGACCACCTTCACTTCTTATAATCTCGCCTGTCATGATATCGAAATAATAATCTGCTCCAATTAGAATGTCGATATTGCTGTCTGTCTGTCGTCCAGAGAGGATATTGGTATCGGAAAGCTACAACTCCATCAGATGAGGATAATGATTGAGATCAATTGTCGTTGTTAATGGAGAGCAAATATTTGGGAAGAAAGAGCTGTTATGATTCGATTTCCATTCTTTCCTTTCAGAGACAAATGAATGAAACAAGTCGCGTTTTTGCTTTGTAAAATGTTGGTTGCCAAATGTATTTAAGTTAACAACCTCTTTTCTGATGGGAGCTAGTTCAAGCCGTTTTTTTAACGAATTCGTAACATATGTGTGCTGACTACCACTGTCCAAAAGCACGCGAACAGGTATAGAAATGAAACCATTCCCACTATTAGCGTATGTAATAGCTGTTTGCAGAAGAACTTGATTACGCGTTTATGTCGTATTCGTCGTTAAGTAATTATCTCCATCAATCATAGTAGCTGTGCGAACGTTGTTTCCTTTCTTGCTTTCTGGTGGGTTACTTCAATGGGGAAAGTTTGGGATCATTTGAATTCTTTTATTGAGGAGGCGTAATACTTGACTTAATAACTTCACAAATCGATTGATGATTAGCCCCATGACAACGTCTAA